AAAGGAAAAAAAAAGAAAAAAAAAGAAAAAAATATTACTAAAACAATTAATGAAGTCAGAGAAACTGCAACAGATCAGAGGACACATAACAACTAAGTATAATGTGGGATCCTGGATGAGATCCTGAAATAGGAAAAGAATATTAAGTAAAAACTAAGGAAATATCTCAAAAGTAGATTCTAGTTAACAATAACATACAATACTCGTTCATTAATTGTGACAAACACACTATACTAATGAGCGAAAATAATAATGGAAACTGGTTATGGGGTAAATGGGAACCTTGTTTTATCTTTGCAAGTTTTCTATAAATCTGAAATATTCTAAAATAAATCATTTACTTTAAAAATTGAAACTATATCTCAAGAATATTAGTAAGGGATGAAGTGAATAGAGACTGTGGCACAGTATGTGTGTGCAGGGTGGCAAGCGGAGGACTGACGGTGATGGGCCACCTCTAAGGAAGAGGAAAGCTAGGTATGACTGACGGGCAGTTAGAGAAGGGTAAAACCATTGTTGTGCATCAGAAAGGTCCTAACTGAGGTCATTAGCATAAATTTTGGTTGAGAACAGCCAGTCCAGCTGAACAACTTTCTTATAAGAACCAGGCTGAGAATAGAGAAAACTGGTATTGCAATTGACCCAGATAAGGACTCAGCACACAGGCTCTGAAAAAAATCTCTTTTACTGTGCACCATGATAAATATACTTTCTTCTTGTGCAGATTCATTATACCATGAAGTCTCCTTCTCAATACTCCTTCTCTCTTTTTTCCGCACGCTCTGCAAGTTTCACATTGAAATAGGTAAATATAGTGCAAAATATTCTGATAGAATCTTAGGGAAAATTCTTAAAGCAGGATACAAAGGGGACTAGGGAGATTCAATATTTCTTTTCTTTTCTTTTTTTGACAGGCAGAGTTAGACAGTGAGAGAGAGAGAGAGAGAGAGAAAGGTCTTCCTTTCCGTTGGTTCATCCCCCAAATGGCTGCCACACCCAGGGTGCTGCACCGATCCAAAGTCAGGAACCAGGTGCCTCCTCCTGATCTGCCATGCGGGTGCAGGGCCCAAGGACTTGGGCCATCTTCCACTGCCTTCCCGGGCCACAGTAGAGAGCTGGACTGGAAGAGGAGCAACTGGGACAGAATCCGACACCCCAACCAGGACTAGAACCCGGGGTGCTGGCGCCGCAGGTGGAGAATAAGCCTAGTGAGCCACAGCACCGGCTGAGATTCAATATTTCTTAATACTATTTCCTTGTTTTTGATGGGACAGTAAAACAAGAAAAGCAAAACATAGACATCTCCGGCTTTTTAAAAGTATCTGAGGGTCAGAAAACTTGAAGCCTGTGGTTCATCTGCCTCCCCGGTCACCACAGGCAAAGTAACTGGAACAATCAAAAAATGAAAAAGGACTGCAAAGAATGACACAAACTAGACAAGTAGGAAATAGCATGCAGACATGTAGTATAGTAGTTTAGTTACCGCTTGGGATGCCCACGTCCCATATCAGAGTTAAGTGGTTCAGGTCCTGGCTCCTCTGCTTCCAAGCCAGTTTCCTGCTAATGCACACTTTGGAAGATAGCAGGCAATGGTTCAAGTATTTGCTTCTCTGTCACCCATGTGAAAGATCCAGGTTGGGTTTCAGATTCCTTGGCTTCAGCCTTGCCCAACCCTGACTGTTAAGAGCATTTGGGGAGGCCGGCGCCGCGGCTCACTAGGCTAATCCTCCGCCTAGCGGCGCCAGCACACCGGGTTCTAGTCCCGGTCGGGGCGCCGGATTCTGTCCCGGTTGCCCCTCTTCCAGGCCAGCTCTCTGCTGTGGCCAGGGAGTGCAGTGGAGGATGGCCCAGGTGCTTGGGCCCTGCATCCCATGGGAGACCAGGAAAAGCACCTGGCTCCTGGTTCCTGCTATCGGATCAGCACGGTGCTCCGGCCGCAGCGTGCCGGCCGCGGCAGCCATTGGAGGGTGAACCAACGGCAAAAGGAAGACCTTTCTCTCTGTCTCTCCCTCTCACTGTCCACTCTGCCTGTCAAAAAATAAAAAAAATAAAAAAATAAAAAAGAGCATTTGGGGAATGGACTACTAATGGAAGATTCATTCTCTCTCTCTCTCTGCCTTTCAAAAAATGAAAATAAATTTTAAAAATACAAAATAACCATAATAATACACATCTTGTGTTTGTCTTCCCAGTTTACAAAGCTTTTTATATGCACTAGCTTGTGATTCCAACAAAAATCTTGTAAGGTAGACATTACAACGACTAGTAATAACAATTACCAATAACTTCATATAGGAGAGAGTGGCTAGTCAGAGACTTTAAATGACTTTTGATGGATCTAGGACCAGAAAGTACACCAGAATCTCATAGTTAAAGAAAACTTCATACTAATAATGCAATGCCTAACAGATGTCTTTATCTCATATATTAAAATGTAATTACTTAATTTTCTATTGTTATTGTATAAATGAAGAACAGGTATAATAAAAGAAATATTAGAGAACTGGTGAGAGAGAGAGAGAAAGTTAAAGGCATAGAAGCTTTTTAGCTTGACCTTAAGTTAGTTATTCTTAGACTAGAAATAAGGGAAATTAAGCAAGTAATACACAGATCTTTTTAAAAAACTACACATCTGGATCATTACGCACTACTGTGAACCAACTGAACAGGAAAGAAAGGACAAAACAATGTTACAGAAATCAGTAGCTAGGACTTGTGAGAAAGTGGTCTAAATTTATATAGTCTAAAATCATGACTCAAGGAGACATAATCACAGCCTATAAATATCCTCCAGGCAGCAATATGTGGCAAATAAAGTAAGTGAATTATTCACAACCTTACGTTCGGTCGTTTCTCTTTGTCCAGTTGTCTGAGGAACACAATGCCTTATTCCTGAGCTGATGTCGTCCTTAGCAATGAAAGCAGCCAAGGAGACTCTCGAAGCTATGCCCTGCGTCAGGTACACAGATATGGGATTGAAAGAAGAACCCTGGGGAATGGCCTCCTGCAGCCCTCCATAAGATCGGGAATGAGATCAGATGGTCACATCACTCAGTAGAGTACTGTCATTATTCCTCAACTTGGATAAGGAATAACAGAGAATGTAATCAAGTCCCAGGAAGCTTTCAGTTACTGATCCACCCAACTGGAGGAAGAAGTGTAATTCAAAGGGTTTGACTCTGATATCCTGACACAACATGAGTCAGGTTCTCCCATGGGATTTGTGACTACACTGTCGACAGCTATGGTTTTTCTCATAGCGATAAGGTATTTGTCTTACCTGGTAAACCACATTTTAGATATCAAAGCATTTTCAAATCTACTAGAACTGTGTAAAGGCAGGTTATAACTAATTATTATCATTGCTATGACTCTCCCAGATGTTATGCTTCAAAACTATCATTTTTCACAAACATTGCTTCTATGTGGTAACGTTTTCCTTTATGAAATCATCTAGGTTTTCTTAACTGAATCTTATGGTCTCCTTAAGCCACAAGTCATTTCAAAAGAACTACTTGGTCCCAGTCCTTGCAGCAGCCTAAATTGAATTACAGCAAAGATGATCCTGGGCAGGCTCCCGAGGCTGCATAGCAGCCCTGTGTACACTGATATTTACAATACCAGTTCTCCAGACACAACATGCTCAGTTCATCTACAGATCAATGAAAGTCCAAGCAATTTTTTCCCATTGCTTTCCTGAGCACAGGTTTTGAGCCCAGAGGAAAGCTGTTCATATTTGGTTTTACTTATTGAAATTTTTTGTGCAAAGAGAGGGACCTAGATCATTTGACAGCCAGATATTTAGTCTTTAAATACAGTAGCTTCTTAGCACAACAACAAAGACCCTGGGTTGTGCCTCGTTGGTGCATTAGGACATTTACGGAAATAAAATGCTCATATCACTGCTCACGGTACTGTGTGCATCGTAAACCAGGGAGAGGTGATTCACCCAAGTTTTGATCCAAGGCTGCTTTGCCCACCCTGTGAACCAGTCCCAGTGGGGACACTGAGGACCCTGTGGAGAGTGTCAAGCAGTACAGAACAGGTGTTTTCTAAGGGAGTACCCTGCGCTTGCTTTTAGGCTCACAGAGAGGGCAGGGTACTTCTTCAGATGGTCATCTTTGCTCCAGAGAATAGCCCAGGAGCCCTTTAATTGAAACCTGGGTCTTTGTGACAATATCAATGCCCCCCAGGAAACTATATTTGTTTACTACATTAAAAAAAAAACTAATAGATTTCAAGTAAACACCTGTACCATAAAGGCATAAGACTGATGGTACACTTGTTGACATAGGCACATGCATGAAAACACACCCAGAATGCTCAAGCATGTGGGACTTCTCCATTACAACTGCAGTTTATGAAAAACACAAATCAGGATGCAGGTGATGTCTGTGCTCGCATCCTGCAAGGAGAAATTAGCAGAGCTCCAACCTCTGTTGAATGCTTTCCTCAGCTGGTGGAATTTGCCAGATCTGCAATATTAACATAGAATTATGGAAATTGGAAACAAAAAGCTGGAGTCTATTGGGAATGATAGGCTCAAGATGAACTCAACTGGAAAATTTGGCTAACTAAAAGTGATATTCTTTGTGCTGGAATTTTTCTGTCTGAAAGCTTTAAAAAGGCTGTAATTATTTCAAGTTTTCAATTCAGCCCTTTTCAAATGAAGCCTTTGATTTTTTTTTTCATTGCTTTGCACCTCTCCTCTGTGTGAACTCAAGCATTTGCCAGGCACTGCAGTGGCAAATTCATATTGGCTTTCTACTCATATCTGTATCCATTTCCAGAGGATGCAACACAGCATTTGCATCTTCCGTGCCAAGAAAAACAAAGGAATATTTGTACTTCAAAACTTTCACAATGTGCATAGGCTCAAAAAACCTGAGCAAGGCTAAATAAATTGCCTAATAAGAAATGGCTGATTAAGACCAGAGCACAACTTCTTTGCAAGTTAGTACTTTTTCTCCATGGCGAAGCCAAGAGATACAAGAACTTACCTTGTGGCTTTTGGGTCCCAAATCACAATGTCAGCATCTGATCCTACAGCTATTCTTCCTTTTCTTGGATAAAGATTAAAGATTTTGGCTGCATTGGTGCTGGTAACTGCAACAAATTGGTTTTCATCCATTTTACCACTATGCTGTAAAAAAAAAAAAGTAAAAAAATACAAGACTCATATCTCTTAAACAAAGAGAAGTGCACCTAATGTCTTACGTTGAGAAACCGACCACATCTCTGATGCTGACACATATCAAACAACCATAACTGTAATGATGGAGATTATTTGGTTATTATATGGTTATATTATTATTATTATTATATTATATATATTATTATTATATTATATTATAATTATATTATTATTATTATTATTATTATATGGAAGCCTGAACATAACTTTAAAAAAAACTATCAGCTTAAAAACACCCCTACTAATTTTTCCATCCTGCCCAGAATCATACACATTGTTACAGATGACTGCAAAATGTTGGCAATGATTTCCCATCTAAAGTTTACCACCACCTACTACATTTATCATCTGCCTTATTTATTGCAGACCTAAGATTTATGAGATAATCATGTAGACATTTGATAAACTAGTACAGAGTTAAAAACAAACAAACAAAAAAAGACTGATAAGAGCAGCTTTAGAAAGAGGAAAAATTGATTCAGTGGGTTCAATTTTATGTAATTGAAATTTACATGCATCAATAATCATGAACAGTCCGTTCCAAGATATTTTAATAGGGACAGACTTTGAAGAGATGTGGACCCTAAGAAAATGAAAAAGTGTAGGTGGTTTATCCCTATGTATGTTTACATGGTAAGAGTGTTCTTAAGATTTATTTATCACAAGGTTGTTGCAAAAAAAAAAAAAAAAAAAAAAACATGTCCTGAAATTAAAGTCCTGGACTAAGCCATCTTAATGTTTCAGAAAATATTACGATCTCAGGTATGCTACCAAGAAATATTTAATCACTTTGAAGCCATTTAAAAGAAGCTAAAATAAATTATGAAAATCTGCTATAATGGATATCACTCTTTGTGATAGCAAAAGTTCATACAGGATGGTTGGACTGTTATCAAGAAAACCTAAGCAGGGGCCAGCACTGTGGCATAGTGGGTTAAGGCACATGATGTAGGCATCCCATATGGGCGCTGTTTCGAGTCCTGGTTGCAACACTTCTCATCCAGCTCCCTAGTAATGCACCAGGGAAAGCAGGAGAGGATGGCCCAATGCTTCTCTTGTGAGACCCGGCAAAAGCTTCTGGCTCCTGGCTTCAGGGTGGATCAGCCCTGGCCACTGTGGCCATTTAGAGAGGGAACCAGTGCATGGAAGCTCTCTCTCTCTCTCTGTAACTCTGCCTTTTGAGTAAATAAATACATATTAAAAAAAGGAAAGGAGGGGAGGGGAGGAGAGGAGAGGAGAGGAGAGGAAGAAAGAAAGAAAACCTAAGCAAAGAGAAAGAGAAGGGAAGTAAGTCATCAAGGGTGGTTAGAGTCAGGATAAGGGACAGCATTAAGGAGCATGATTAGCAGAAGACAGTGCTAGAGAGATATTTTGAAATTTTGAAGATCCCCATATGTAAACTAAGCATTCAAATGTTCTTTAAGCAATGGGGAAACTAAAGGGCTTTTGAAAGGAAAGTGGCATGAATAGAAAGAGCTTCCTTTCTGAGTGGTAGCTTTGGTGCTAGAATATAGAGTAGATCTTAGCAAGTGAGACACTGGAGACAGAGACACCAGCTGTGCGGCTACATCAGTGGGATTCAAGAACATGAGAAGTCAAGTGGAAGTGCTATATCATTTCAGGAACTTCAACAATAAATCTGTCCCTGAATGTCTGTGCACATCAGTGCAGCGAATCCGCTAAAGCATGCAGAGAAGGCCATTATGTCTTTACTGACACGATCCATATCCTGGTGGGGAGAGAGAGGACAGCATGGTGGTGGTTACAGCACTGCATGCCTAATCTCCACCCTTGGGAAAACAAGCAAAAAGCTCTCTCTAGGGGTTTGTGCCTCCAACAATAAGCAGGGTCCTGGTTGAAGAAAAGGCAAAATAATTCTGAAGCCTGTGAAACCCACCACGCCTTTCTCCCATATTACTGACATCCGGTCCTCAACACCATTCACGCCATTGGGAATCTTAGTAAAGTCATCCTTCCCAAGAGCCTTCTGGCAGGTGTTGAAAGTGCAGTGGTCAGTCCCTGTTGTGGTTAGATCATCACTGTAAAAGAAAAAGAAAGCATGAATGTGATGGGAGAGGGTTGACAGACAGTGTTAGGAGGACACTACCGTAGCCTTGCCTAATCTCTTGACGCCTCTTCTCAGCTGGAAGTCAAAAAAATGCACTGGAGAATGAGTGGTGTTTTTCACGTGTCTATTTCACCCCTCTCCTGAATTTATCCTAGGAAGCACTTTTAGAGAACATGCTTACAAGAAGCATGATGCAGGGTCACAGGCTAGAAAACTTGGGTTCTGGGCTCAGCTTCATCACGTCTTGGCTCCATGATTATGAGCTTGTCTGAGACTCGATTTCTTGCGTGGAAATGGATAATTTCTGCATCCATTTGATGATGACAATTTCAGTGTCACTACAATAATGCAGAACTCCTCGTGAGGAGAGAACTACACAATGACATCACCATGGTGATTTACGTGAATGGAGGGCAGGTCCTTCAGGGCAACCTCTAGCCAAGTGGCTGTGCTGTGATAAACAAGAGGTGCGACACTGGCTGATGATGGTGACGTCACAGGGACAGGAATGCTGCTTTGGCTTGTGAATCATCTGGGGGATGTAGAAGTGTGAAGGAGGGAGGAAGCTAAAGGAAAAGGGCAAATGAACTCATACACAGTCTATAGTGAAAAGTTCCTTGGTAACTCAAATCCAACTACCTGTGAATAGGGAGTGTCAGGATGTCCACAGATAGTGTAATTTTCCAGAAAAATGATCCTGTCTTCCCAGAAGGTGACACAGTTTCCTACACAACAAACTTGTTCTTGTATTATTTCAGCATTTAAAAATTTTTAATTCGAGAGTATTCTGGGGGTTGGTTTTGTGGTATAGTGAGTTAAGCTGCCACCTGCATCCCATATGGGTTTTGGATGCCCTACTTATGATCCAGCTCCTTGCAAATATGCCTGGGAAAGCAGTGGAAGATGGCCCAGGTCCTGGGGTTCCTGTCAGCACAAAGGAGTCCAGGATGGAGTTCCTGGCTCTTGGCTTCCACCTGGCCCAGCCCTGGCAATTATGGCCATTTGGGGAATAAACCAGAGTATGGAATATTTCTCTCTTCCCCTCCCCACACCCTTTCAAATAAAATAAATAAATCTTTTTTAAAAAGAATATTCTTTTTTTCTGATAAAAAAAAAATTAACCAGAATGAAGAGCCCTGGCTCTGAGAATCAAGAAAGAGAAAAAAAAAAAAACCAAAAGATAAAAAATTTCAATAAAAATTATCTGATTCTCTGTGCCCCGGAAAGGTTTTGATAACATATACAAACATAATCAAGCCAATGTCTTTTGTTTTCCAGTTTTTTTTGTTTTCCAAGGGAGTGCCCAGAATCTGTCAGGTGAAATAGAAAGAATATTGAGAGGTCAGTACATAGTGAAGATGTAGGACAAGCTCTCTCCCACCAAATACTCAGACTTGTAAAACCTTCCTTGGGCAAAAACACTTCACAGTCATCTGCAAAGTGATTACTTAGCCAGCAGGTTCATGAGGAAGCTGGGCGTTGAAGGGTCTGGTCTCAGGGGTGGGCCCATAACATGGTGGGCTGCGTGGTGCCATTCTTTATTCCAATAGTGAGTGCCATCAGTGCCGAGACTTGCTGCTATGGGTTCTCCATAGACCACCTTCCCTGGAATGTTCAAAGGAACCATTCAGCACCTAGATTTTCTCCTAAGAAAGCCATCTGACAAACACATACACATTAGCATTCTCTGTTCTAGCAGACAGTAATATTGATACTTAGCAGAATTCGAAACTATAATTTGCTTTTGTGAACAGGATTTAAAAAGGACAGCTAAAGTTTATTGACAATCTACTCTGTGCCAGTCATTGTGTATTGCATGTTATAGTAGACTATTCTTCCTGCTCACCTGATACCTGTAGCCTTGGCCACAGGACTTACTTCGACCAATTAGACATGAATGAGAGGTGCCTGTGCTGTTCCAAGCAGAAGGAATAAGAGCCATCGTGGGGTTCTGCCATTTTCCCACTGTCATGACCCCAGGAGGAGCTGCGCCTTCAGTTGTGCCACAGAGGGAAAGAACTAAGGAGCAGAGGCAAAAGCTAACCTATGATGGACTTGAATATAATGAGAAATAAATCTCTGTAATTATAAGCAATTCATATATTAGATCCAATTTACCACAGCATTACCTAGTGAGAGATCCATGTGCCATCATAATAGAATCTTCTCAAAAGCTCTATCAGGCAAACCCTATTAATATATCCATTTGAAAATGAAGACAAGCTATGGGCTATATAACTTCTTTACAGGTATGCCACTTATTCTCCACCACATGGAGGGATTGGAGGAGGTATGCTTTGAACACAAGTATTTTGATTCTAGTAGTCCTAACTTTTGTGTTATCCTAGCCTGGTAACAGAAAATGATTATATAGGTCATATGGACAATCACAGTATATCTCTGCTGAAAATAGATTTATAAGCTTTCCAAATCCTTTGAAAAAGCTTCTCAAAAAATTTATATGAAATGAAAGAACACTCAGATAATAAAATCATAGACAGAAATGCATATTTTAACAATCATGCAAATGAGGCCATCAAAAGCACACAATGTTGAAAGTTAATAGTGCACAGTGAATTTGAATTTAAAATCAGAATCCTATTTCTGATTAGCATTTGTCAGAATAATAGATTCACTGGCACCAACCTCATCGTACCCAAGCAATCATAAAAAGGAGTGCACAGTAAGGAGATGCTGGCATACCAAATTAGTTCACTCTGGTTAATCAGATGCCACATTTTAGTTAAAATCTTGAAATATAACTGAAATTAACCGACTTCCTTGGAGACTACTGTTGGTGGATGGCCACCAGCTGCCCGAGTCCTATTACACTGCGATGTAGCACCCTAGCGGCACAGATCATTTCTTCCTCAAACTAGCCATCTTCCTCTAGCTAGCTGAGCAATTTGAAAAACCATGAAAGCAAGATTTATGGAAGCCTAAGAATTTCACTTCTTAAGTGACCTGGTATGAAACTATGGTCACTAAAATTATCTCCCGGGCTTCGCCATGGTCGAGATCCTCTGCTTTCATGAGGCTCACACATAGATGAACACCATCCCCTTCCTGGTTCCCAAAAACCTACTCCCAGAGAAGGGGAAAGCGCCATAAGCAACTCTTTATGGCCTTTCGCGTGAGCAGCAATCACTTTCAGTGAAGTAAGAGGTACTGTACTTACTCTCTTCTAGAGAGAGAGCACGACAGACACGCTATTTCCTTTGCAAGTACAAAGAGACCTTCCTATTCCAAGAGCACTTCTTACCGATGCTTGGACAATGAGGACTCAGAGACTTGATCTGCAATCACTTTACGAGTTGCCAGCTCAGGATTTTCCACGGTGCTTCATCACAGAGGAAAGATCCTTATCACATGCTCTATTCAATCACTTGGCCCATCAAGGTGATATGGGAATATGGTTCCAAAAGTCCTACAATTTTAATAGCTCTCAGGGAAAATTAAAAGTGTCAGCATCTACCAAGAGTCTGCCAGAACTGTTTTGAAGCCAGATGACAGGTAATTTCCTTAGAATGGCTTAGCTCCTTTAAAATATGACAGGCCACTTTTTGGCGTATACAGTCACCTCCTTGTTGACTGGGCTGTTTTCATCTATCTCTCCATTAAGCAGCAGTAAATACAAGAATTTAAAAATGAACAAGCACACATTCCTAATAGTCTTCCCTCTATTTCACAAGGGCCTGAAACATTTCCAGAGGATTGGAAATTATACAAGAGGCAAAAAAAGGGCAGGGGAAATAGGAGGTTTGGATAATCTGGATAAACAAAATGGACAACTCAGACTAATTAGGGGTGCTGTTGGATTAGGCTAAAATAAAGCAACAATAAAATAAGTAGCTTGCATAGCACTCTAGAATCTGCAAAGCTCTCACCTATGAGCCGATTTGACCTTCACAGCAATCTTCATACTTGTTTGACAAAGAGACTGACAATCAATGAGACTAATTTGTCCAAGAATGCTTCAGTAATTAGTGACATAGCCAGAATTAGGATGTGTTACTAGGAAAAGTATCATTTTTCATCTCTTGGTAAAGAGCATGTATTTTTAAATGTTTAAGTCAACCACAAGGTATTTGTAGATGTGGCTGAGCAATTTTCCAATTCACTTACTGGTTTTATTTACTATGCTCAGCAGGTTGGCAATGAAAAGTGCTATATCCGTTCTTAGCCTGATAGTCTCTTGATTGCACTCTAGACCAGATGGTTTCAACAACTCCTGGGACATAGAGACACCCTCACCATTAATCTCCTTCCACTGTCTCAGTGAGTTGTACATTAGTAGTACTCTGTCTACCCACAGACAGCCTTTCCTTCCCCATCCTTTGGCTCAAAACCAAAAAAAAAAAAAAAAAAAAGACTTTGCCCTTATGATGCAACCTCCCACTCAAAGGCATCTTGCCCTCTGAGAGTTTCTAAATATTTCAAACAATGAACCATGTCAACCCAATCCAGACTAGCCCCCTCCCCCACCAGACAACCCATTTATTAGACAAAGGCAAAAGAGCCAATGTTAACACCAGGAATGGATCTGCACGCAGTACGTTACTGAGTCATGAGATCTGTTAAAGGCCTTAGGTGGAAAAAGGCAGAGAAGCTGCATAGGTTTCCAGGAGCAAAAATGCTACCCACTAAATAGGAAACCAAAAACACTATAAAAACCAATTCCTGGGTGGACATTTGACACAGTCATCAAAATGCTACCTGGGATGCTAACACTTCATACCGGAGTGTCTGGGTTAGAGTCTCAGCTCTGCTTTCAATCCAGCTTCCTGCTAATACACACCCTGGGAGGTGGCAAGTGATGGCTCAAGTAGGGTGGTCCCAGCCACCATGTGAGAGACCTGGATTGATTTTCAGGCTCCTGGTTTAAGCCTGGCCAAACCTTGGCTGAGGTAGGCATTTTGGAAATGAACCAGCAAATGGAAGATCTGCGTGTGTGTGTGTGTGTGTGAGTGTGTGTTATCAATTTCTCCCTCTCTCTCTGTGTCTGCCATTCAAAATAAAAATAAATGAATAAATAAGTAAATACATTTTCCTAGCTAAAAGCACAAGTTGAAATTTCCTGGGCATTGTTTTGCTTCAAAACAACAACACATTTACAAAAGAAGAAAGAAATGGAGAGAAAAATGCATAGGAAAAGTCTGGTAGAATGGATCACACAGATTTATGTTCAAATTTGATCTTTAGCTGGTGACCTTGTATAAGGTGAGTTATTGCTCTTACTGTCAGTGTTTCTTATGTATGAAATGAGATCACAATATCCTTCTAATGTGGCAATTGTGTGAAGGGCAAATCAATGCATGTGTGTGAAACTACAGGGAGCCTTCCTGGGACTGTGGAGTCACTTCAAGATATAGACTGAATGGTGTTTTTTTTATCAAATACATATACTGAAGTTCTGTCAGTGCCTCAGACGATACGGAAATAAGACCTAGTTAGAGGAAATTAAGTTAACATGAGGCCATTAGCATGGGTCCTAAACCCCAAAGACTGGAGTTTTCATAGGAAGAGCTAGTAGACACAGACTCAAAAAGTGGCGGGATCATGTGCAGATCTGGGAAGCAGATGGCCACAGGCAAGCCAAGAAGAGGCCCTGTGAGCACAGGCTTCTTCCACAACCAACTCTCCCAACACCTTGATCTCAGGCCTCCAAACTCCAGAACTGAGAGAAAATAAATTTCTGGTATCTAAGCCAGCTATCCTGTGGTACTTTGTGATGGCAACCACAGGGAACTAATATACTCCAGAAATGTTACTTTCCCTATAGTCATGAAATTCAATTTTTCAAAATGTTTTGGAGTGGATAGTTTTCAATGGCTTTGCAATTGGCTCTAAAGCTCATTTTGCTCTAAAAATGAAGGACAATGGGATGTTTGGATGTCCCTGTACAAGAAACAGCAGCAGGAAAGCTGAGATGTGCTTCCACCTTGATCAGCTGCATTCATCTTCCCACAGCCCCAGGCACTAGGCAGGAGCGCACAGTGCAAGCGCAAGCAAGACTTGGTTTTCTCTTGCTTAGCACTGACTTGCAGCAGCCAGTGCCACCATTTGGGGATAGTGTGGTTGCTGTACGGGGTCTTTCTTCCCTTCTTTTAAAACACAAGAGGAATACATGGGAGACAGAGTCTAAATAAAATAGAAAATGAGACATCCCAAACCTCCCTGGAAGAGAATTTTATATTTCACAAATTTGCAAACTTGTTATTTTTCAAAAATAAATCTGAGAAGTAAAGCTTTCTACTATAAGGAAAGTTGAAATCAAACCAAATGAAACCAACAACAACCAAACAAAAAACTAACCACAAAGGATACATATTTTCATGAAAAGTATGAAGAAAACAGTTTATTCACGTTTGAAATGAAAATAATACTTATACCCTAAATACAGGAACATGGATAAAAGAATTGAGTTTTATTAAGACAAAATTAAAATAAGTTAGCCTGAAAACTGAACAATAAAAGTATCCTGAATCTTTCAGCTGTAAATGGGAAACAAATTATAATATATACAAGTAAAGCTCCAAGTTCAGTTGCTGGGTGATGTCACCACTATTTGAAACAAAGCATAGAAAATCGTGAATTTATGTGCA